CTGACTTTTACTCAATCTGACTTCTGGAAAAGTCAGATTGAAAAAAAAGCTACTTCTCCACCGCCAATCCAAACACACCCTTAGTTCCTTTTTGTTACCTTGAACTAGTTCCACGTTTCTGGATTGTGCAGTAGTTAAAAGATAGAGATCAGAGCTATAACTCTTATTATTGAGTAATGATATAATAGCGGAACTGGGCCATGATTTCACTGTGTTCTACAGTGTACACACCTGAGTGCGATCAGCTAGAACTAGCTAGAAAGCACAAGTTCATGAATTGGCCAGATTGCTGATATTTGTTGGCATTTTGTCACTTAACATCATTGAACAGCCATTTTGAACCTTTTCTTTGTTGTCCTCTCCATCCTTCTGGAGCCACATGCACCAGGTCATGGCCAACTTTTTTCTGTCGATTTTAATTACTGTGACTCTGCCAACAAGATAAACCAGCAAAAATGTAAGATATATATATATATATATATATATATATATCTTTGAAACCTACGATCAGGTTTCTGTTTGTTATCCAAAAAAGTAGCTGTTTTATGATTCATCAGCAAGAGGGAAACACCAGTTTTAGTTTGTCCAATCTTCTTTCGACGACATATGTACTTGCAAGGTTCCAAGTAAAGCCAAAGCATTCTTCTTAAAGGACAATCGTGGCCAACAACACTCGTCCAGCATTGTACTTCCAAGTTTTGACTACCATATAAATTTCTAAACTAATATGAATATGCCATCGTTTGCATGCACTGCGTTAGGTGAATTTTATGGCGCAGCTTTATCAATATGATTACTGGTAATTCCTTAAACTAAGGTAGTTATACAAAGCAGGTTTTATATGAGTACTGACAAATTGCGAAAGACTAGCCATTCTAATCAAAATCAACATTTGATATGTGATTTGCAACTCCTTTACAAAGTTTTGGTAAACAATATAAATGTAAAATTATTACATCAACACTATTATTTTCTTTTTCTGGTTTGGAGTTCTTGAATGTTCAAGAGATCAAAATCTTCCTGTCAGAATATCAAACCGTACAAGGGCCCATATAATTGAACTGTACAAGATCAGTGATGATGGAAAAATCCACCAAAAAAAGATTCCAACACATATGAGTGGTGGCATGATGGGAATATGGTAAGGTTTGCGCGGCGACTATTTATATTTGTATGTGTGTGGATGGGCAGATGGATCAGCATAAGAGGGGGTTAGCTATTGATGTTCTGTCTGTCAGTTTGATACATTTTCTATATTAAAATGACTGGACAATATTGGAGGTCTTGCCTCGTTCAATTAGCTATTGATGTTAGCTAAGAGGGGGTTAGCTATTGATGTTCTGTCTGTCAGTTTGATACATTTTCTATATTAAAATGACTGGACAATATTGGAGGTCTTGCCTCGTTCAATTATGTCCAATATTCGGGCTTATCTGAAATACTGGTTTTATTGCAGAAAATATTCTCAGCAGTTTAATAGTGTTCCACTATTATATAAACCCCAACCTGTGTGGGTCAGGTATCAATGCTTTTGCTTTTCCGTGCATACTTATTGAGGACGTTTGATTAATGACCTCAGAACTACCCCAAGACAGTAAGTTTTCTCCTGTGAAAGTAATTCAAGAGAAGGAGCCATTCCATTTTTCTCAATTGAATTAACTATAAAAAACATAATACCGTGCCTACAGGCTGTTAGTTCATATTTTTATACTTCTCCGTCGTTTCAAGTCCATTATATCGATTATGTCAAGTTATTTACTGTGTCCTATTTTTAAATTATTAATATTTAATAACATTTTACCCATAAAATAAAAAAGACACGTGGTGGCCATATAAGATTGAAAAAATTGATATAATGGATATGAGGAACTTGCGTTAAATACCAACCAAAAGTAATTATTTTTTAATTAGTAAGCCAGCAAAAAAAAAAAATTCATTTAGTATGAGGTAAAAGCAGGCTACCTTTTCATTTTTGCCCTTAATATCAATCAATAAAAACTTGCTTCTCAGCTGTAATTAATGCTTTATAAAAAAAGTATGATACATCATACAACTAAAGAGGTTCCAAAAGAGCTCTTATAATAGGATGGAAGGAATACTATACCGTCTAGTGCCAACTCCAATGTACAAAGACGTGCGAAATTAAGGCGTCCAAAATGGAAAAAGTAGGCAGAGAAATTAAATCACAAAATGCTCATAATTAGCAAAGAGAGTCAACCCCATGTTGACTGAATCAAACCTACAAGTCAATGATGATAAATCGAAATTGAAGCCGCATGTGCCTTTTAAGAATTTTTTCACAGAGGTGTATATGATTCTGTTGTTCAAAATTAAATCATACAATTTTTGATTAAAAACACATTTATTTAAGAATTAATCATAAGGGACCTACTGACTTAAGTCCCACAATCTTAATTAAAACCACCGACATGCAAGAGTGTATATCTATGGAATAAAATTTTAAATGGCACGAGATTATTATCATATCATGTAGATGAGGAAAACAATATAATTTTCTATGATATTATTTTCTTTTCTTTTGCACCGCCAAACATATCCTCAGGGTCCGCTGAGTTTATCTGCTTAATGGCAAGACAGTGACTTGAAGGGGGAGGAATCAGGTGTCCAATAGACCAATAAGAATACCTTCTCCGGGAAGGACTGGGAACTCCAAAATCCAAGAGACAAATTATAGAGGAGACAAAATTATTATTTGGATTTTACTTTAAAAGAGTTCTAGAAAATAATTGTGAATGGGTTCAAAAGTAACAGGACCACTTTTCAAAGCAGTCGCAGTCACAATTTGTGGGGAAGTGAATTTATAGGACATGAGGCTGGCAGCTTCTGCGTTTTCTTTTCTGGTCATAAATTATAATTGGCATCCTCCTTAATGCCACCACAAAAATACCATATACAGTCCTCACTATGTATTGCTTCCTCGAATCTCCTCAAAAAAGCATAAAGCAGGCAACGAACATTATTTGGTTTATGCTCTTTTTCCTCGCTGCCTTTTGTGTGTGTGTGTGTGTGTGTGAGGGGTATCTTTCATTTAGCATCCCGTTTTTCTATTTTAAAATTTAATATTCCTTTTAATAACGGGCCATAACTTGGGAATCATGTATCCCATGGAGGCCTCACTAATGCCATGACACTTGTTCATCCGGAGTTATATGCCCTTATCCCTATACATCCGAAATTGACGTGTCACCTAAGCATCGGGCTTCTTGTGGGGCTTAGTAATCATGAAGTCAGTGGGCCTTACTTACCCAAATGGGCCAATAGGCCCATAAATTCGGCCCATGTAATCTTTGCTGATTGGTACATAATTATTGTTCAATTTTTTACCCGCTTGGTCGAAAACACTTAAACCAAACCATACGTGATCCTTATTCATCGTTTTTTTTTGTCGTTTTTGCTTTTTGTTTTTTTTTACCGAGACTATATATATATACTACTTCTAATCCTAATTATAAGAGCTAGTTGACTAATTTGAGGAGATTAAGAAAAAAATTAAATTAGTTATTTGTAATAAATAGGTGTTGTCTTTCCTAAAATATCCTTGCTAATTAAGTGTATTGGCTAGAATTATCATTATTAGAAGAACTACCTTAGAAAAAAATATATAAATATGAAAAACAAAATAGATTAGGGTTTTATATTTATAACTAAAATAAAAATAAAATAAATTCGTATATTAAGTACCGAGGCAGTATATATATTCCCACACTGCTATGAATATTCATTGACCATGATTTTCATTGAAGATAAAATAGTGTTAAGAGATTAATAATTTGTTAAAATTTTTTAATATAAGAATTGGTGACTATTTGAAGTTTTGCCGGGGAAATCAAGAAAGCAGTTTTGCTTTCTTTGGTCATCGTCAAGCAAAGGGATTAACTATAAATTCTGGCCATGAATATAAAGAAAAGAATCTCAAAACTTCTAAATTAGGGATCAAAATTCAATCAAATAGGAAGTATGCTGAAGTCCAACATGGATATGGATATTCAAGGGGGAATTCTATGGAGGATTAATCCGCGAGTGGTTGTAAAATGAAACAACATAGAGCCCAGAAATTATGACAACTTTGCACGTTGGCGCGCTTTGTCGTTAAGATCCCAACACTGCCAATCACCCTGTGGGCCCCTGTCCCCTTCTCTCCGCCTGCATTTCCGTTTCCTCTCCATCTGCTTGTCCGAGCGATCACTCATCCTTCACAGAAGCACCACCCCTGGCAGAATCAATGGATGCTCCTTCCCATTTATCATCGCCTTTTTTATGGGTTAATCTTCTCTCATTTTTTATTATTTCCCTCCTTCGTATCATTTTCTTTCCTGTTGCGTTCTTTTTCTTTTTTGGCCACTCTTCGGTTTCCATTATTTGTTATTAGAATTTGGAATCAATTAGATCTGGCCTCCACCTGTGAGAACTGCTTATCGTTTTTCTCATGCCGTAGGGGGCGAAAAGTGGTTCATTGCCTTCATTTCATCTTCTTAGCAACCGTGATAGTCGTTAAAAAAATTCTCTCCTTCAAATGGCAAGCTCGTCTTTCTATTTTCAGGCTTAACGGGATAATCTCAAAGTTCTTGTTGGTCTACTGTAAATTAAAACCTCTTGAAGTTCCAATTGCATGTACAAGTTACCCGTTATACCGGAGCGGACGGAGGAGCGACTGATGGGGGCAGTTTTTTTAGTATTATATGAATTATAACTGTTATCCATGTTTGACCTCTCAAAAATTATGCAGTATTCATGTCTTTCAATCTTCGTCCTTATCATAACAAATTCTCCGCCTCCTACCTGCATATAAACGAATTGCACTTGTTTGTGACTACTTCACTAACAATTAAGAAATAAGAAAGTAACTTACTGAGGAAAACCAAATAAGCTATACTTCACTATTATTCATTATATATTTCCAAACTCACCTTTAAAAATTATGAAATAAAATTCAATTAAAAGGATAGTTTTGTCTATAAAATTGAAAAATACTATATATATTTTAAAAAATAATGTAGACTTCTCAAGAATAAAAATAAAACAAATGAATCAAGCAATTAACTACGAATTTTCCAGTTCTGTTTCCACGCATACTAGTCTGTTTTCTTTTCCCCACAGTTACTTATTACAAAAGAAAAGGTTGTTAAATGCTTTCTGTCAAGCCTTCTTCTCATTCACATTTATGAATTCTAATTATTCTGTGATCCTTACTTGCAGTTCTTAAAGTCAAAAGAAGGATCCAAGAATGAATATTGCAGCCAGGTTTCACGCAATGGATTGTTAATTTGCTTGAGGATTCGGGTTACACGAAAGATCAAGGTGGGAACTTGTAGTTGTTGCAATTACTATTAACTTAATAAAGATAGATGCATGTCCTGCTTATTATAGTATATGCATGCATATGGCAAGTTGGACGGTTTGTTGGTCTGAAATACAGGAGCTAGCTGCTGAAGTTGCCTGATGTGATCCCACATTCAGAGTCAGGCCTGTGGGTATGTTGAATATTGTGCAGGAGATTGCCATCTATATTGATAGGTTTCACAATCTTGACCTTTTTCAGCAGGGGTATGTTTCCACTTCTATTTATCTTCTATTTAACTCTATTAGTTGATAACCTGATATACTATGCTTTTTGTAGATGGTATCAAATCAAGATTACTATGAGATGGGAGAATACCGAATGTGTCTCTTTTGGAACTCCAGCAAGAGTTGTTCAATATGAGGGTAACATTGTTCTGTTTATAATCTATTTTGCTCATCCTTTTTCTGCATCATTATCTTGTTTGTTTTATATTTCTACAAGAGTAAGGTTACGAAACAATCATCTTTTCCTTTCAAGAGTGAAATATGTATAATACCTAACAAGGTGGCATAGAATACTTGCATCTATGACTGAGACATTCTCTCTCTGAGGCAAAGTATCAATTTCGTGTTCTGCAGCCCCCGATATGGGTTCTAGCAGTATATATGGTGCATGGAGGATTGATGATACAGACAACAGTTTCTCAACGCAGCCCTTTCGGATAAAATATGCTAGGCAGGACATTCATTTATGCATGATGATAACATTCAGATTTTTACTTGATGCATTTGAGGTAGGGATCTCTCGTTTTCTACTCTTTCTTGAAGTATAAACAGGAAAAGAAGCCTTGTGAGATGACTGTTGCATGTGGATACCCCGCAACCTGTTAGGAAGACCCTTTAGTCCATATTATCAACAAGGACGGTATCTATGTTTTCTGTAATAGGCTTACAATCATTTACATGCAGGTGTAGACAAGAAAACAACTGGAAAATAATGCAGAATCAAGATAACTAAATCTTGAAAAATTAGAGAGCACCTTGCCATTATTTTTGGCACTCCTTTCTTTAAAATTCAATATTCTTGTAATATTGAACTCGATTGTCTCTTAATCACAGGGCTTGCCTACAACTGCTGTTATTATGAAATTTGAGCTTATGTATGCTCCCACAGTTCGGAATGTGTAAGTGCTAAAACAAACATATTAATTGGCCAAATAGTATTAACCAAAGCAAGCTTTTCCTCTTTGTTGAAATTGTTCACTGATTGGGGTCCAAAATCTACAGTTCTGACTCACAAGCTTTTCTGGATGCATCCTCTTGTGCTGTCCATGAATTTCGACTTCCCCCTAAATCCCTTTCAGGATTGCACTCATACTGTCCTGTCTATTTTGATGCTTTGCATTATGTGCTCGTTGATGTAAGCGTGCACGTCAGTATACTGAAAGCCACTTCTTACCATTCTGCATTGAAGGTACCCAGGTTTGTCTCATGTTCTAAATTTTTGTGTAAATCAGCTTGACTTTGAATTCACCATCGTTATTTCCATTCAATTCCCTTTTAGAGCAAGTGCCCCCCCCCCCCCCAAAAAAAAAAAATCCCTTTTAGAGCAGATTTGATTGCGGTTGTCTTCTTTTGTATGTTTGATTTACATATGGTCACTTGTTTCTCTTGAACCAATTCAGCAATTTTGGCTGCACTGAAGCTTGATCAAAGTTATGGCATGTTGAATCGAGTATGTTATAAACATGGGATATCTCATTTTGGAGACCATTGTTAACTGAGGTGGCTTTGATCAAAATAGCTATTGAAAGCTCTCTTTTTTATTGCTTGATTTGATGTTTTTGCCTTGACCATTTTATTGCCCTTACTAGGTTTCTACTATGATACTTGCTGCTCCCAAGTATAATTTCCAACCTTTATGCTATCACTGTCAATGCAATCACCTTTCAAGAAACGAAAAGTTTATGTCTTCACAAGTGCACCTCCGTACATGCATGTGCTTTTGCATTGCATATGGATTGCAGTTTTGTAATTTATACTTCTTTCTTTCCAAGTTATACCTTGAGTGCTGTATGAACCTTTTTAACCTGAAGATCAAAACATCTCAACCATATTTTGATTTTCAACTGACCGATTATGTTATAGTTTACTGTAATAATGATATTTCATATAGACTAGCTTTATGAAAGGGAGCAGTGCGGGAAAGTGATGGGAGGAACTTTTAGTGAATACTACTTGCTACGTCTGGATACTGGATACAGTCTTAAGTATTTGCTTTTGCATAACATAACTAGACTAGCTTTTAAAAGAATAGCAGCAGAGGAAAAATTAGGCCAACAACAGAGATGGAAGAACAATCTGACGATGAGGATGAAAGGAACTTATGGTAAATGCTACTTACAAGGTCTGGATTATGGATAGTCTTATGCATTTGTTGTTGTATGATGTCTTGCGCCAACAAAGATTAATTTTGAGAAGACAGACTCCCACACACTATTGAAAGTATGTTACTGGCATTGAAAACTGGGGTGAATTTATTCAAAATGCTTTGATCATTGATTCCATGTTGTTTTAATACTATATTCTAGGATTAGGGGCAATGCCACTGTCGATTCTTTTCCATCTTGATATAAATTTTAGTCATTCTTCATGCATTAACAGAATGGTTCGTCTCACTGAACAGGAATTGGGTGGTGTTGTAGATATGAAAGATGCCATGCGCACTAAAGCATTAGTAACTGCTCATGATATATTGCTTGAAGAACTGTTAAAGTTTAGTAAAGCAATTGTTCAAACAATTGATATTTCAGAGTTTGTGTCAAAAGGGAGTAATGTGAAGTTAATAAATTCTGTTCTGCAAGCAAGTCGGGTTACTACCAATGTTGGCGTTTCAGTACAAGGCAAGCCACAAAATGGTCTTGAGGTCCTTACATTTCTTTTTGCGGAGTATTGCTTGTCTTTTTTTTTTTGGACATGTACATCATATTTATGGTTTCATGTTTATTTGTCATTTCTGCTCTTCTTGTACAGGGACTTAATGGTGCTCTGGCTTTTCAGAATGCTGAAGAACTTTGTTCCTTATCAAAGAGTGAACTGTCGGACTGTTTTAATTCTCTGGGAGATCAAATGCTGTACTTATGGAACAAATTTTTAAAGTTTCATAGGTTCACTCTTTATCATTACGATTTTGGCAAGACTTGTGGTTCTCTAAATTTGACATCTGAATCTGATTTGTATTTTAGCTTTTTGAGCTTCATCTTTTAACTAAATTTGAGATAAAAGTATATATTTTTCCTTCTAGGTCTGTTTCTTTCTTATACCATTTAATGAGCAAGCATATGCTACTTCATTTAGAATTCTCATCTAGTTATTACTGGAACAGTTTCTTCTTTCCGAGGGTAGCCAAATCCCCAGCAATACGCGTCTTTTCAGTGGCTGGTTTCAAAAGATGTTTCCATAGGAATGCTTTGAATAACAGCATCCATCCATCCCCATGCTGACATGCATTTGCTAGAGCATTTATAGTGAGACACGATATTGGCTTGCTCAATTGGTTGTTTTTTAACTTGTTCCTAGGGAAAACAAAACAAAAGTTCTAGACTTTTTACGTGATGTCTGGGCTGAGGATCGGAAAGCTGAGTGGTCAATATGGATGCTACACTCTAAGGTAGAGATGCCGCATCACTACATAAAATGTGAGAGTCATGGTTCTTCCAACAAACCTAAGCATAGAAGATTTTCCAGTTCACTAAAGATATCTAATGAGGTAAGCACCTATAGTTTCTGATATCTTTACCCTTCATGGGAAGGAAGGGAGGAGGGGAGGCTTAAGGTAAAACAGGGTGAAATCCTTAATTTTGCCTGTGTTTTTGGCAGCCTCCTCAGACTGCAGCAACACGTGCAGAACTTCATCGAAGGAGCATCACACAAATGAGGGTAAGTTATCACCTGATATATTTTGACTACTGATATCCTGATTTTCATTGACATATGGGTTGTTGATTTGTTAATTCTTCCCTGCAGATCAACAATCGGTCAATTCAAGACATGCATATATTTGGAGATCCTTCACATATGCCCATTGTTGTTGTTGAACGTGTGATGAATGCACCACGGCGCACGATCAGTGATACTTCATACATGAAACATGTTGAGCTTATGGAATCACATAGCCTACAAACACAGCACAACTCTGCTACTGTAGACGACCAATTGGTATCAAAAGTTAATGCTTTTACACTGAAGATTGTTGTCTTCGTACATGGGTTTCAGGCAAGTCGTGCCATCAATTGTGCAAAAAATTGTCTAGCTTTTCATGTATGACTTGAGATTGTTAGTCCTATCCACTTGTTTCAGAGAGGTCGGAGTAATTTAAGTCTATTACTTTATTACGAATTCACGTTGATGAGCAGGATTTTCAAATATGAACAAAGCTAAGTGACCCAAGGGTCCCTGCTTGATAATATTTGAGATCAAACTCGGTGAAAGCTTAGAAGCGAACCTAATATTGAGAAATATATAGTGAAAGTATATGTTGACAATATTAACTTTATCATTCTGATGTGAACATTTTTACGCATACCTTAAATCTAACAGATTTGCAGAGGACCTGGAAGTTTTATAAAATAAGCACAGCTGTTCATGACAATGATTGGCTCTTTCAGAAGAAGTGTGAACTTTCAAGTGAAAATAACAACTATGAAATGAATAAACTATTGTTTAGAATTGTTTATGTGGTCAATATTGGTAAATAAAAGTTGCAGTATTAAAATGCGAAAGCTTGTAACATTATAGGGGCATCATCTGGATCTACAGCTTGTCCGAAATCAATGGCTTTTGATAGATCCCAACATAGAATTTCTGATGTCCGAGGCTAATGAAGACAAAACTTCTGGAGACTTGAGAGAAATGGGGCAAAGGCTAGCTCAGGAAGTTATTTCTTTTCTTAAAAGGAGGATGGACAAAGCATCTAGATCTGGTCACTTGGGAGATATTAGAATAAGTTTTGTTGGGCATTCTATCGGTAATCTCATTATAAGAACAGCAATAGCAGGTAGGTCATAGATTTATATGTGATGCTGTGTTCAAGATCGAATTCTTGTCGCCAGTTTTATTCCTTATGTTTGCAGATAACAGCATGGAGCCATATCTAGGATACCTACATACGTATCTTTCTTTATCTGGTCCACACCTCGGATATCTTTATAATTCAAGCTCCACATTTAATTCGGGATTGTGGCTTTTGAAGAGACTAGCAGAGATACGGTGCATTCATCAGCTCACTTTCACAGATGATCCGGATATCCAAAAGACGTTCCTCTATAACTTGTGTAAGGTATGGAAGGTCTTTACAGAGATTAAGGATCAGATGACATAGGCATGAGAATTTATCATGTCTGACCTTGCATGCCAAGTTTCTGTGAAGAATGAGTTATTCATTATTATATTATATCACGCGGGTCATTGTAAATGCACTAATATTTTAAGGTGACTGAAAAAGAAGGATTAAACAAACACTTTTTATTTGAAAGTGTTTTTTTTTCTTTCAAAATAATCATTTAGATTTTAGAGAAAATAGATCTTAACTTAGTTTTGACCCACTAATTGATTCTCTGCAAAGTTCTGACACACATTTCAAAAACAATTAAAAAATCTGATTTCTTATTCTAATCAATTTCAAAATCTTAAACAAACACCTTAAAACATTTTGTTTAAAAACGATTTTTTTTCATTTAAAAAAGTTTAAACAAAAGGGCCCTATATTTTGCATTTTTTACTTCTGAAGTATAATTTTGTCTAGCTCGAAATTAATGTGTGGATTTGAATCCATAAAAAATAAGGACGAGGATTTTTTTTGTGATATAAAATTTAGATAAGTTTGATTTCAAAATTTACTAAGATACTTAATAAAGTCATTTCAAATGTGAATATGGGACGGTCTTTTGTCACGGTGCCGATGCAGAATGTGTATGCAGTCACTTCGCTTTAGTTTCTAATGCAGTTCTTTTCCCACCTTTTTTCCTTTTTACAGAAGAAGACCTTGTACCATTTCAAGCATATTATATTGGTTTCTTCCCCTCAGGTATTTTCTTATGTCGGGATTATTCAAATTATCGTTGGAAATGTCTTTATTCTGCTGGATTATCATATATTAAGATCATGATTGGGAGAATGGGCTTAAGAGTGAGATCGTAACTTACTTCATGGATGCCGTTACTTATCAGGGCATGTGAATCACACTCTTACATCGACATAAAATTGTAAACTTTACAAGTTGCGTGTTCTTCATCCTTGTAATCACAGATAGCACCGAAATAGGCTTCTCAACTCAAAACTACTCATTTCTGTCATTTAAAATTAAGTTAACATTTCAGTATTGGAAGCCTTACTTCAAATTCATTTTGTGGGGGTTCTTTCGTCGCTGGTGATGCATTGTTCAGGACGGTTATGTGCCGTACCACTCTGCTAGGATTGAATCGTGTCAGGCAGCTTCACATGACACTTCAAAGAGGGGAAGAGCGTTCCTAGAGATGTTGAACAATTTGTTGGACCAAATCCGTGCCAATCCCTTGCATCATCGAGTGTTTATGCGTTGTGATGTCAATTTTGATACGACTGCCTTGGGGAAGAATTTTGACTCCTTCATTGGCAGGGCTGCTCATATTGAATTTCTCGAGTCTGACATTTATGCCAGGTTCATTATGTGGTCTTTCCCACAGTTTTTTCGCTAACAATTTCTCCACTTTGCCCTCTCTTCAATATTCAGGGGTGATCTCAAATTGATGTCAGGGGCTTAAAACAAATGCATCAGTTTGCAGTGCACTACGTCTAATCTGTATTCTTTCTCCCACTTGGAAATTTCTGTCAAATTGTATACATATTTTTTTAGGACGTGTTCCGAGGAACCAACTGATATTATCATGTTAGGTTACACAACTGGAAGTCAGTAATTGTTTCCCTCTTTCTGTCGCTTCATTTTCCTCTCCCTCTCTCCCCCTTCTCCTCAAACGAACAGGACTACATTAGTTTTTCCATCCATAATGACATGACTTTCTCCCCATATTCCTCGCTGTGACGCATATGGTAGTCGATTTCTCTGCCTTTTCTTTCATTAAACGAAACTTCTGTTATTATCGAGGGGCTGGATTAAACTCAAATGGTAAAAGGTTTATTGCTTGTGCAATCCTACGCCGTGGCGTCGTTTGTCATACTGGGTGAACAGTATCATAGGATCTTGTCTACGATTTTCACTTGTGTGGTGGTTTAGCAGCCACACTAATTTTAACTTGTATGTGATGGAACTAGCTAACTAACGAACCTTCCCCACTTCATTAGATTCAACTCCTATTGGAGCTGCATTTACAACTATCGGTAGCTGGCCCTACATCGCACATGGGCGTATTGCAGAAAACGTTTCTCAGCCGCCAACCATCACTGAATCCCGATAATGAAAACTGAGACATTTCTGAGATATAGAATAGAACAATCTCGTCCAAAGGCTGTGGGATCTTATGCTATTGTGGTCTGAACGTTTGCTAATGACAATTGAATATGATTTAAGTAATAAGATTGAGCAATGCTTTTGATTCAATCACTGATCACTGATTTATCTGAGTAGCGTGGAATGATTTTAGTTTCTGAAACTCAACAAAGGGAAGGAATCTACCATTCCCCGTAAACGTAACCAAACTTAGGGCTCAAGAGCCAGCTAGATCATTAACTTGGTGCCGGAGGCTGCACATTTTTTCCCATAAGGAACACCAATAACAAAAAATGACATCAATCCAAAAGGAAGAGGAACTTAAAAAGAAAAAAAGGAAAAAAAAAAAAAAAAAAAAAAAAAAAGACGTCCTAAATTGCATGTTACTGTTCCACGATATTCATCTCCATCACTATCCTCTTCCTCGGCAGTCAGCAGAGTCAGCCCCAACTCTAGCGTACATCGTTTTCCAAAATACCAAGGTCCTCAAAAGGCCTTTCTAAACTTCACGTCCTCCCCAATATACTAAAACACAAATGTACGTTTAGAGTGCGTGGCATCAAACTCGTGAATCTTCCAAAAGAAAACTCCACCAAGTTGAAGATCACACACACAGCCCTCTACGCCTGACCAGGATACCTCCTAGGACAACGGTCAGGTTGTTAATCAGTGCCCCTCTAAAACCCAGCCAATGTTGCATTTAGAGTTTCACAGATTGATATTTCACTTGTACGTTAACAAAACACTACACAAGTTTATGCACTGTGAGGTAAGGAAGGAAACTAATACCGCCAATGAGCGTATACTTGCAACTTAATCTAGCCCCCACCCCTGTGCCTGTCGAGAAATCGATCGCAACCTAAACACACCACAAAGGTAATAGATGTTCAACTACAGAGTTTCCAATAGGCAATTTTTAGCCATCAGACTGATTGTCTTTGTCACAATGCTACCAGCAGATCATAAAATAGAAAATAAAAACAATAAGGGGTAATTTTGAGAACAGCAGCAACAGAAAAGAAAAAAGCAGATGTCAGTCATGTCAAAGTACAAGACACTAAGACAACAAGAAAGCATCCATCTGCACCATCAATATTAAAAATTGGTTCACCAAGAAGGTTGATGGATCGCATCGTCATAAAAAAATGAACGACCCAGAAGGCTTTCGCACATCTCCAGTCATGGCAAATTCTTGTCAATAATCAAGAATTATTCGGGAAACTTGTACATGACGAGGGTAGATCAGCACACGGCATCTCATATGATGAAGGTCGGACATATTCAGGCACATATGATAAGAACATCATGATCCATGAAAATTACTAATGTAAATATGGAGTAAACAAATCCTATAACTGAGAGCATATGGTACTATGGTGGTTACTTTTGCTGAAACTGCAGAATTCGCCAATCTTAGACTACCACTGTATAATTCATTAAACTTCAGTTCCTCCTGTAACTGGTTTTTATAATCCTGTGACTAATGCATCCAGAAAGATACCAGCAAATCAATAAGAAAGTGAATGAATGAAAATGAAGTAATTAACAGTGAAATAGACCATTCTCATTGTTTGCAACAGTGAAGACTTAAGCCATTCCACGAAAGAACGAAAAAATCTAAATACGATATACCAAAGTCTTGCATGATTCGCTAACGGAAACTTTGCATTTGAAAATGGAGTTATCCATTAAGCAACGATTGATCTCAAAACACAATTGAATTCCATGCTTCTCTTCAAAGTACTTACTTCAGATAGTAGTTCCACTGTGCCCATAGTTATAGGAGAGAAATTACCAGAAAGACAACATCATGTACAAGATTGTCAGATCCGATCTTGTGAAGTTGCTTGCATGCTTCAAGCCAAGTGATATTCTTTAATTATTGGTCAACTTGCACCAGAACAGACTTTAGAGGGCAGCATTTTGGAAGATGCGCTTTTCCATTTTCCTTATCCCATATTAAATATGCATTAAATTGATCTTAATATTCAAATTAAGCATTGCTTGATTACTTTCTATGCGCTAAGTTTTCTCCCAGCATGCATCACTCACAGAGAAGGGGAAATTTGCGCAAGGATTCCTCTCTAATAGCATCTCTTCTAGTAAGATATTTCTCCAGTGAAGGCTATATACACAAATCCCAACTTCTTCACCACTAATAACAACGCATTAGAAAATGGCAATTTCGCCGAGTCCTAGGATTGTCAATGATATGTGGTGGCCGAAGAGATCAAATTTTACTAAACTGCAACTTCAAGCATCTAAACCTTTCAATTAACTAATGTTGCCACAATATTGACCAAATCCATGCAAATTCTTCCACAATCAAATGTGTTGTTTTCCGTTCTTGGATGAATTAAAGATATTAAAATGAAAAAAAATTGATTATCTACAGGCAAAGTAATAATAACAAGAAAGCACAAAAGCAGGGTATATCATTGTTATTCTTTTACGTGTGTGATATTCTGCCACAAAATTTGTGAAAGCTAAATTGTCATGAGTGAGAATTTTGTAGAATTTGGTCAACATCGTTGTTGCAACATCAATTATTGGTCAGGATGCACATGTTCAAAGCAGCAATATAATGGCAAAATTTGACCCCCTACCACACAAAATGAGATTTGTACAGTAGCGAGGTAGGGATGAAGTGCAAAAGTCACATTACTTTTTTTTTGGTCAATCAATTATTAATGATCAAAACTACAGATTTGACCACACAACCTCCATTGGAGAAATGTCCCAGTAAGAAAAAACGAAATATGTTTCTACTCATGAGCCTTTACAAAATGGTCTATAACGTAGGGAAACTTACCACAGTTTAAAGCGCTGTAACAAACTGGTAATTTTATGGCTCACAATTCCCTCTAGATGGGTGCTTCGAAACCGGCTCCAAGGTGGGCAGATGTTGAATCATCCTAAGAGCTACCACTACAATCCAGTATAGTAGCGCACGATGTGACCCAAAAACCTTAAAGAATATAACAAGAAAAGGGTAAATTTCCTCGCCGATTAAGATCCTATTGATATGCCATCATAATCATGAACCTTAATGCTGCCGTGAGGTAAGTATGTCCCTGATATGTTTGGGGTTTTTTGGCAGCGTTAATCCAAGTATCTTAGTAAAATCACATTGTAGGTGAATAAAATAGAAAATATTTACCCTTCTGAACATGCTCAGTCCGAGTCAGGCCCTCTTCAGACAGATTCACAAAGAACAAGGTCATGCAAGTCCCACTTGAGTCAAATCAAGCTGAGGATGCTCCACTTATGCATAAAAGTGAAACAGTGATCCCTATCAAGTCCAATATGCTCCCTGACTCATTATAGGACCACACTTACCACATGATTTTGTTTTTTGGCCCTATTTCCGACCACCATCCACTATCCCCACAGAATGGAAAAATAACTGACAAACACTGTTCTGAAACGATACTTGAAGCTCGAAGGAATTGTTTAATCTCTGAGTTGTCTCCAAATTTGGGAGAACCTATACCGTCTCCAACAAACCCAGAAAATAATACTCTTGGACGGTGCAGCCCAACAAAACAAGACGAACTAAAGGAGCATAGACGCAAAGCAAGCGAGAAGTACCAAAAATTGAAAACAAAAAAGAAAGAAAGAGAACAAAGAACAGTGAGTTGATACTTGATAGGACAAATAACTCTGTAGGAAAAAAATCAAGAAAAACATATACAAATAACAATCTCATAGTCAAGACCATTAACTATGGAAAATGGGTACAACATTAAGGATACAAAAAAGTGAAAGTCAATGAATGACCAAAATCCTCCATATACTGTCCTGTTCTTGGCATTTCAATATAGGATAACAGAAAACCAGATCGATGACGAGTCTTATGCTCTCCTCTGTCTTCCTTTAAGGTCTCAGGTTGCCGCAAAACAAAAGGGGAGAAAGGAGTAGAAGTGTAGAACACAACCAAAAAAAAAAAAAAAAAAACCAAAGAAAGACGAGGGATTAAACGCATAGGGGAAAAAAGTTTTTTTTCCAGCAGCCTATGATGGAAAAGCGAAAAGAAAAGAGACGAGGTATATTTTAAGATAAATATATATAATATATATTGCCTGGCTCCATCCTGTCTGCCTTTTAGGACCCAGTGAGAAGCGAGAAGAGAACACAAACAGCCACATTGTAAAGCTCTCATCTAAGAATGGATTTAGAAAGGGAGAGTGAGGCCGGTAACTCTCTGGGAGGAAGAACATAATGGCGTTGATTGCATGAGAGGGAAGAGAGGATCACGTCGTCTTCGTCGATGGCCATTGAAGACAGGAACGGGAGCCAAAGGCGCGCCTTTGTTCTTTCTTCCCTCACAGAGAGAGAGAGTAAAGAGTAAAGAGGAATGTGGATTGGTGGGGGAAAAGGGGGGATGAGGCTTTTTAGGAATGGAGGGAGAGAAAGGCGTTTTTCAACTTTCTGAGTGTTGCTGTTTGTGGAAACGCTCACCGTTTGGTGTGTCCTGTCTTGGGCTCCAATCG